CTCTCACATTGTTTACTGCTCTGTGCATGTTGGGTAAAGGTCCTGTCACACTATGTCTTGGTGTCTGTTCTTATTAACTTGTTTTTATTCTGAAAAGCACCTTGAGTTGCCTTCTGGTGTGAAATGTGTGATTCAAATAAATTTCTCTTGCCTAATTTACAAGAAAATTTGACACAATGTAAAATAACCATCACAGCTACTCAATATTGCCCAAACAAAAATGACTAAACTCGGTCAGTTTTACAGACAATTAGCTAATATTTGGTGAGGCAGTTGCTGAGAGTCATCTTCAACACATAATCTGAGCAATAACATCTTACAACACCTCAGAATGATGCWCAAAAACACAAGGACTGTTCCTTCTCTTTTTTAGAGACAGAGAGAAAAACAGAGAGAAGTAATTAGAAAGATAGAAAGATTGAAATAGCGATTAGAASTATATTAAATATACATCAACAAAACGCAGGACCACACACCCAACATCYGTCCACTCACCTGAAAAATAAATGGATAAATACATGGAGGGCATGTATAAATATATACACATACATTTATAAAGATATACATACTGTACATACATGCCTACATTCATAAATATTGTCATTATATACACATAGACATATATACACACTCAGTGACCAGTCAGAACCCCCCGGATCAGAGCACCTGTTTGTGAGCAGTTGTGAACATGTGTGTATATACAAGATTTCTCCAGTGGAATATTTAATAGTGACTGTGGAGGACCGAGACCCAACCCCCAAGACACGAGGCAGACATAGGGAAGACCAGAGCCCAAGGGCCCRAGAGGGATCCCGAGCGCTGAGCCCCAAGGGGCACCCGCACGGGAAGATCCACCCACCCACCCCCCAGATCAGACCATAGGGGAGAACTGGGAGAGTCCCCCCCAGCGACCACACGCACAGCCCCCGGGGCCAGCAGCAACAAACTCATGGGCTCCACCAGCACCCGCCATACCAAAGCAGATCCAGGAAAGGGCACAGAGGTCCGGGCCCCCAGGGCGCACCCCCTCCAGGCCAAAGCCCGACAGGTCCAGAGGCCCCGAGCCCCAGCAGGCAGTCAACAGGCCAGGCCGGCACACACCCCAGCGCCCAGCCCCAGACCCCGGGAACCCCCAGCACGCCAGCGCCCAGCCGCACACCCCACCGGGGGGGGCGAGTAGCAGCGGGCCCCCAGATAAACCAGCTGGAGGGGCAGCCCAGACCACAGCCTGACAAATACCCAAATGTACACAATCGCACCATCCCACCCTCATCCTCACCCCCACTCAGTCAAAGACATACAAGGACGCCACATTCCACTCATACCCCAGATACACACTCTATACCCCCCAGGTCCAGGACATGCACCCACCCCCTACTGGAGGCCGCACACACCCGAACCCAGGAGGTAGACCCAATCATTCTGAGGTGGAGAGGATCAGATTGCCAAGGCCCGGCCCGGGCCGCACCAGGACGCCCAGCCAGCCCCCCGCCGCAGAGAAGCCACACCCATGACCCCCCACCACACCGCCAATGACCAAGTGCACCACCCCAGCCGTCCACCCCAGGACTGTTCCTTCCCATTGTGAGATGATTTTCATCTTAAAAGCTGGCACGAAGTGTGGGAGATCTGCCTTCCTTCTGTGAGGTTCGGCAGGCAGAATGACCCAGGGCGCAGGCAAAAATCCAAAGTGCAGAAATAATGTTTATTTAACAAAAGAAGGCTGGCAGGRCAGCTCAAAAATACAAACAAGGATAATCTCTGGGGGAAAACAAGAACACGAGAAGTCACTGATGAACACTACACAGGCTGAGGAAAGCAGCACAATGAACGGACAAACACTGAAGACAGGACACCGAATATAAAGGCAAACTAATTAGGACAACGAGAAACACCTGGAGGAGACACAAGAGGAAACARGTGAGCATGGGCGGGGCCAGAGCAGGGTATAACACAGGGGAACACAGAAACACCAGAAGGCCAAGGAAAGTAAACACAGAATCATGACACCTTCAAATAACCCTAAGTGTGTTTAATTGGACAGAATTAAAATAAACTGGGTTATAATTGGATTTAGTTTGGGTTATACAGAGTCAAATTGGTCTTTGAGTGACCTTTAATAAATTATTAATATCTTTTTTGWTGTTTTTTTTTTCAAACTGATACTGAGGAAAACTGATGTAAGACTGTAACATTGTACCTAAATTACATAACTCCATCAATTAGTTCTTAGAATTAGAAACAGCCACATCTGATTTTGAACAGAACTCTTGTTCTTTGTGTTTCTAATGATTTCTATCAGGTGAAACCATTGCGGTCAGAACAGATACAAATATAAACTGAAGCTTATAAGCTGGCTCCTCAAACAAGTTCTGAATACAGATGACTTTCACACAAACACGTTGCATGTAAAAACCACACACCCAGCATAAATTGCCACTGTGAAGAGCTAACAACCAACAATTTGGGTTGTGACTGTGTGACARAGGGGCTAATTAATGTCTCGAACGTTTTCCCCAGTTTGTATATTTGTAGCTGTTTAAGCACAATCTTGTTAAACGTTTACCTTTGGCTGTTATCTTCAATTTATTTTATTTATTTATTTATTTATGGCATACTGTCATAATGTCAGGCAAGGCAAACTCGATAATAGCTTGTAAATATTCTTTTTAGCTAAAAATTTGTCAAAGTAAAACACAGTGTTTTACAATGTGACTCCAACAGGTCAGGAGCAACAGAAAATACAAACTAAAATGCAAAGAATTAAAGAAAAATTGATTTGTTTATATGTCAAAAAACTGTCATAAACACAACATAAATACAAGTGAAAACATTCCCAAATTAAAGGCCTAGCATTCCTTGAAAGAATGCACATCACCCACTGTTTTAAGAAATAAGAGTTGTAACCGTTTTAGTCAAAACCTTGAATGTAACGTTACAGATTTTTTTGATATGATCAGATTCTGGGTTAGGGATGCTGCTCAGCAACTACCACACCAAATTTTAGCTAGCTAATAGTCTTTTTTTTGTCTTCTTTAATGAGAGATGACAGTCTCATTATAAATTTTCTAAAAGTTAATTATTTGATTATATGATTTGGCTCTATTTATTACTCTGAACAAGTGATGAAATTTGCCCAATGGTTTATCAAAGATTTTTGCTAAAAGAGACACGGCCACATTTCTGGGTGGTGATAAAACAGTGCAGACTTGTGAAAGTGCAACAACACGAGCAAATGAACTAAAGAGGACATATTATGAAAGGATATCAGTTGGTGGCTGAGAGCATGTGTTTGGTGTCTGTAAGAATCATTCACGTAACTGACGGTTTGTTTGAAAATATGTCAGCCACTGAAGGGTTCAAATCTGCGGGGGATTGACACATCACATCACCGACCCAGCTCAGAGTACAATTATTCAGCATCATCTCTAGCCAACTTTTTAAAAAAAAGCACCGTTAATTCCCAGCAAAATCTCATCTGCAGTAAACTAGCAGTGCTTGCTACAAATCCCCTCGCAGTACTTTGTTTAATGTTTTGTCTCAGCTAGGAAAACTCACATTTTCCCCCAGTCTGGATGCAGTCACCAGACAGCCGTCACAAAAGCAGACTGATAAAAGTTAGTGTACCTTTCAAAATAAGTAAACAAAATTAGATGAGATCAAACAAAGAGAAACGGACTGACGACAACGTCTATCTGAGATCTTATGAAGTGATTTCTAATCTTTCCACCCACAGTTTGGCAGTTCTGCTGCTTCATCTGCAGTGAGATACCTGGGCCAATTAAACCAATGGATCACTGCCAACATCCTGTGACTAAATTTCATTAAAAGGAAAACAATATTTTAGAAATTTAGCAGTCAAATAATTATTTATCAATTAGCTGTGTGCTAGAATGATGAGTACCCATTTCAACATCGGGTTAAATCAAAACCATCAGACCTGTCACTCTCATTAAATTTAGACTGCAGCTAGCCCAGAAACTTTAGTCCTTATAACTTAATGTATGTATAAAACAAACTAGAACATATTTAAAACATTAAATCTGAGGCTGTAAATGATGCAAAAATTCCAGAGAGTTCCAAGAAGAATTTCTAACATGAATTGATCTCTTTGATTCCTGGTCTGAATGTCTTGTTTCACTGATATTTTTTACAAGCTGATATTGAATCTAGAACACCTTCGACATTGTCAATCACTTTGAAAATGGAGACAATGAAAAAGAAGGTGTTCTGTCACTTTGGTGCGAGTCAAGAACCAGGAAACAAATACAGAATTAGACTTGAATGTTAAATGCAAGAAACAAAGCCATGCAACACCCAGCTGGACCAAAAACACAGGCCGTTCATTCCGTCGTTTTTGGTGAAGAATCAAAGATGACAGTGCCATATCAACACACTCTTCGTGAACCCAGCCCCTCCTACGGGGCAGAACTTCCTGTCGAGATACCGAGTTCTGTAACAAAAGTTCTGATTGCTAATGAGAATAATAACTAAGTGTTGTGAGTGATTAAAGGCATGTTTTACATAATCATACAGAATAAAATACATTCTGTTTGAGATGACTGTGACACAAGCCACTCAAAGCAGATTGCACTTCAAATAAATCACAGTTTTAAACCATAAAAATAGATAATTATGCAAAATAGGTCATCAAATATATATCTTAGTTCTCCTAGGAAAAAACAGCATGTAGTGCATTAAAATCAGTAACAGAATAAATGTCCTTCAGTTGTGGTAAATATATGTTTACACWTTCAAATTCCCATATTAGCAACTTTACTTTTGATCTTTCCAAGCCTAAAATAAATATACTTCTAATCAACTTCCAAACTTTCCTCTTTGCTCCAAAGTTTGCCTGATTTTAATCTGTGGACATTTTGGAGACCATAAGCAAATGCAGTTCACTAATTAGTCACAACTTGTAGCAGCTGTGGTTCCCTCCTCCTATTGCAGCTGCACTCACCTTAGTTGGTGACACCTGGAGCTTATTGGGACCTGAGGACTGGAATTGAGACACTGGCCCAGACAAATTCTTGTTACTAGAGTTAAACTAATAACTTTGCCTTGCCTGTGTTTTTGCCAAGTCACCCTGGAGCTCCTGTTAAGTTGTTATCTTGACGAGTATCTGAAAGAAGTTTTTGAAGTACTCACCTGCTGCCACGCCCTGCTCCACTTACCTGCCCTCCTGGATCATTACTCACCTCTCACCTCGTCACTTCTGGAAACCACTTACCTGCCACGGATCCTGGTCCAGCTTCTGAGCACCAAGACTTACCTGAAGAACCTCCCCGAAGGAAAAGTAAGTCGAACAGCCAGAAACTCTTACTTAACAGCTTCCAAGCTCTACCTGATCAACATATTCCTCCTCACAGGTTCAGAATCTGATTCTGGCCATCACTGTAAACTCACTTACATTGATTTTCTGCCTCCTGAGTTTTCTGTTCCTCTTACTTGTCTGACCGTGACATCCATCATCTGATTCATGACACAACCTAGTGAAACATCTTAACTGTAGTCTAAATTTAGCACAAAAGTTAAATTAGTGACACTTATGGTTTCCATTTTAAATTTGTGCTTTTTACTCAAAGAAATTTCTCTTTTTAAACAACTGTAGGTCATCAATATTAACCTATTTGATGGTAAATTAGTTCTCCCAGCATTCACTGCTTTTCTCATTAGTTAAACAACTGCAGTCATGAACGTATCTGGACAAATTGACAACATTTTTCACATGATAAGGTCTAATGATGACATATGCTGAACAGATTGGGATGCAAACACACAATGGGTGTTTGTTACCGGTCATCGTATCCTTCTCTATCCCTCAATTGGCCTCCCCTCKGTGCTGAACCCCTTGTGAAAGAGCAGACTTGGTGTGCAGCAGGTGCGATCCTAATGATGCTTTGATGCCATATGTCAAATCTCATCACTTGCTGAGTCGACTGACATTTTCGGTGATGGCTCCTAGCAACAGCATCACAAGTGTTTGACACTCACCTCACTTTCGAGGAATAAACTAAGTGCAAAAAAAGGCAAATTATTGAAAACGCGTTCATGATGAAGCGCGTTGCACGCTGTGTCTCTTCTTCTGTAACGTATGGAAATTTTTCTACGTTTGAGCCAAGTTTAAAAAGATATGATGGCACGCACTTCTTTGTTGTCACGAATCACTGTCTTACACTTGAGTAGCTGTATGTGCGTGTGCGCTCATTGTTTTTGTGTACATCACTGTCTGTTGTCTCATTGGGTCCGCAGACAACTCCTGATTATTGCATCAACAGCAGTCGCGTCTTTAACGTCTCCCAAAATTGTGCTTTTTGTCAAATCATAGCTCCCCAGCCCACACATGGTTGGTTGGGTAACCAGTAATCATTCCTCCTCAGTTTGATGTGTTGGGCGCTGTCTAGTCAAAGGCAGCCCATCAGAGTGAAGTGGTGTGGAGGGCTTGCCTGCATTGTGTCAGTGATTGAGATAGAAGACACTGTCCTTGTGTTGTGTGTTTAAAAAAAGACAGACAAGAAAGGAAGAAAGCACAACTTGTGAATGTGTGTGTGCAAGAATTGAAGTGCTTCTTGCACCTGTATGGTGATAGTTACCAAAAAAAAAACACACAACTGCTGACAAGAGAATAAAAACAAAACATTTGATATAAAATATGGACACTGGAGAAAATTATCATTCATTTAAAAGTTCAAAAACTAAACTTGTAAGATGACAAGGCTCCAAAAACATCACAGGTCAGCATTTTTCCTTGCAAACTGTGACACGTCCTTTTTTTTTTTTTGCATTTTTTGCCACTAAAGTTATACAAGTTTCACACATTGAAACAAGCCCATACAGGGATTTGAAATGGAGGGTTGGAGCATTTCCACCACTGCAAACTGGGAGTTCAGACAAGCAAGTCTGAGCCTCATCGGAACTCATTTTCTTCTAAGGATTTTTCYGCTTTCACTTTCAGTTACAATAATTTTGTGTTTGATTAATTCTAATTTCAGGTGAAAATACTGTATTTTCCATTCTCATGTCCTTATTCAACTTGAAAGCTCACTGCTAGTGATGTGTGGATTGATRCTGAAATATTGATATAACAGCACAACTTATGCTCTTGATTTGTTGATACTTCAGTCATTTCAGGCAATGATGAACAGGAGTGAAAAGCAACTAAGCTATTAAAATCATGTCTAAACCTACACAGTTGGTGGGAACTACTTTTTCTTCCACCTGGGTAAATGCACAAGCGCGATGGCACATGCTCACTTTGCATGTTGCATATTCAGTGTTTTCATATTAACTTTTAATTTTTATAGCACTTTGTGACATATAAACAATATTTTATTTTATGGATTTAATATTTCATTTTTTAAAACACTATTTTGTATTATCATATTGACCTTTTAGCATTTTTGTTGCATTAGCTTTGATATATTGTAAATGGGGACCCTATACTTGAGCTTAAAAGGAATACATAAATTATCCRATGTCTTGTATTCTTTATGAAGCAGTRATTTGAAATACACTACTTATTTTAAAATTACCAAACACATTAAGTGTATTTGCATGAAGTAACAGTATCAAATTAGTTTGGCCAATACCAGCCTGGGTTTTACAGGGTATCAGAATCAGAAAGAAATCGGTGGTATCAAACATCACTACTTTCTGAATTTTCTATACATTATAAAGGTGAAAAAGTTAAAAACTCATTTTGCTTCTTGCTTTGGTACAGACTCTCTTCACCCTCTATGAATCTCAACATATTGTAAGAAGTTTGAATGTGCTCTCCATGTTGTGTGAACGTTTCCGAGGGATGCCGATTTTCTTGTGTACAGACGTTAGATTAATTGGAAACCCTAAACAGACCTTAGGTGTGAACATACATGGTTGTTTATCTGACATGTCTCGGTGTTGTCCGTGCGGCTGACGTTGATGGGTGTGCGCCACCTCTGACTCGTTGACTGCTGGGATACGGCTCCAGCTCCCACTGCAACCCTGAACCAGACYGAACCAGTTTAGAGAATGAGGGAGTGAACCATCAAAGTGAGGCACATTTTTAACAAAGCCGACAGGAGTTTCTAGTGTGAAAGAAGCAAAAATATTTATTTTACTCTCTGCTGTAAACTGTACTGTTGCTGCTAAACGGTTTCCATCAAACAAATACACGGATCAACACGGCCCGTTGCTTGGCTGTATGCTAATACGCCTCCTTTCCAGAGCTTTCACGTCAATGTTGTTAAAGGTGTATTCTCTCCCCTGATGGCCTCTAATAAGCTCAAGTCAGCCAGGCTTACTTCACCTGCAGGACCAGCTACTGATTTTCTGTCAGAAAGGAAAAGCACACCATAATTATGCTGCCATTTGAAATTCCATCACTCCGCTTTTGCAACTGAAATAAGATGCATCTCATTGAAATGTATGTGGAATGCTGGAGGGATATATTCTTGGGTAAACCTTGTCTTTTTAATTAAATACACGGTGGCCTTGGTGGATTGCTTGTGACACGGGGAATGATCGGGGCACTTAGAGGGCTGCAGTTCAGGTAAATATGCTTTTAATGTCCCCGAGGACAGCTGGAGRGGCATGACTTGGCATGTTTATAGAAGTCTGTAGGTTGGAAAGCAAATTCAAAACATACTGTGCAGCTCGAGAGGAAAAAAACCGCCGCCTGTTCACTGTTACKTTAAACTGCGAAATACCAACATGAATAAAAAGCACAAAGTTTGCACACAYTTTGGGTTTATAATATGCTTCACATGAGTGTTAAATGCCCATGACATTATTTTTCGTAATAAATATCTATGCATTTTTGGAACAATAAAATTGATACCATGTTGCAAAAAATGATGATGATGATAATTCCAGCTGCTGAGATGAACAGTTGTTGAGATATTTTCATGTGAAGTAACAGGAAGTGATGTCAAAGGGGAATGTCTGCATGTGAACAGAGCATCGCTGCGATGGCTAAGAGGTTGCACAGAAGAAACCAATGATTCTTTAGATTATGTTGAATCGCTACCAGAACCCGTGTGTTTTTTTATGCACATTTCGAAGTATTAGAAAAGATGGGTGGAATTTTGCAAAAAAAGGTTTTATGCTCGCTTGAGATGGTTTTTGGATTTTCTGAAAAAGAGTTAATGTGCAAAAGGGATGATGGAAACACGTMTGCCAAATAAGTTCTGGCGTAGTGAACTTCCTTACATGATTGATCAGCTGTTCCGGCTGTTCAATAATTTTAGTGGCTACAGCTGTAACTGGACCATTCTCCTGCTTTCGGYGTCTTCTCAGATATTCCCATAACGTGGAGTATTGCATTTCTTTTTCTACGTCTCCAGACGGCATGTAACATCACCAAATACGAGTTGATATGACAGAAGAATTACAACTGTCCCAATAGTAGCAACACGTTCCTGATAACTTCTCTCTATGGTCCCAGGATGTGTTCCTATGAGTTTGTGACTTTACCTCCTGTTTACTACAGCCATGTGTAACATGGTCTGAATTTAGCCTGGTTGATTCRCTCCAAKCCAGTTGATGGAAACAYRTCTGATGCGCGTTTCTTTTTTTGTGACGTTTTAAAAGTTGGCTCAAAATGCACGTTAAAATTGGACGGAAACACGGTTCGTGAGATGAAAAAGAGTCGGAGTTCAAATAATAGTTTCAATAAACAAAGACTAGGGTGTTCCCTTAAGGGGTTTTCCTGTGTTGTCACTTCCTGTTTCACTTTGGCTGAGACAAGTTCAAAAGAAAATAAACCAGTTTTGTGACAAAATAGGTAAGTACGTAATAAATGTTTTCTTTGACTTTCTGTTTTTTGAAAGATATGCATATCACAGGCACTTTAAAAGTAATATTAAGTCCCTCAAAAATAAAACATGTTCCCACAGCTATGCAGACAATACTGAATCTGTTCATAGCCTTTCACTTTTAAGTCTCTCTTTGCTCTGTATTCATCACCAGGGAAGCCTAAAAAGATGCTCTCACACACATATGCTCAATATTAAAACTGTCTGTAAGTGATGTCACCCAATCTTTGTGGTTTAGACAGATTATCAARGCTAATACAAGATCACGTTCTCCCATGTCCCATTTCTGGCGTCCCACCGGTATTTTCAAATTTCAAATAAAGCCTGCTCCCAACTAAGTCAGYTCCCAGACATGACGCTGCTGTGCAAGTCAAATATGTAACGGTACACACATTCATTTAGAGGATCTTCTCTACACTTTAATAATTGTGTAAAAAAGACAAACAGGAAAAGATGACACTGTCAAAGCTGACCTTGACATTTTTCACAACAGTAGTGTCTT